GCTCTCTGTTCTTTCTATACTTTCTTCCATGGGGCTCTTATCTGCTTCTGTGGACATCATCTCTATGCAGATAACTCTGAAAACTTATATATCCAACTCTAACCTCCCTCTAGAACTCTAGCACTGCATCACTAGCAGCCTTTTGGGCTGTTCTGCATAGATCCCCCATCAACTCAATCTCCAACTCAATATGTATCAGACTGAGCTGATTCCCCTTTACTCCTACCTGTTTTACCTTTAAACTCTGGGAATATCACAGATGTAGCACTAAGGTTTACAAAGTCTAGAAAAGAAACTGAAGACCTTAAGGGAAAAGGTTTTTGTCTCTGCTAACAATTTAAGACAATGTCTTCAGAAAGGGAGAGCAGATTTTGGGAGTAAAGATCTAGTTTAGAAGACCGAGGTTTGAAAACGAGTTTTTTTGGAGCGACAGATTAAAATATAGGAATGATGGGCTCTTGGTAAGAGATAAAGTACCAAGAGATGGTAAAAATGTATTTGCCTAGACCCTTTAAATCTAATCTAAAAGACCTTAAATTGAAAAGGAAGGAGAAACTGCAATTAAAGAAAATCTTTCTCTGTTTCTTTCCTCTTTTCTTCTTCTATAATATAATATAATATAATATAATATAATATAATATATAGAGAGAGAGCATTTAATTATACATGTATATAAAATTTTCTAAATGTATACATGCATGTAAACACACATTATATCAGACACAAAAAATCTTAGTATGTTTTAAATTATTTTGGGGCAACATATGTAATTATATGCACACACACACATATACACATGTATTTATTTTTGTTTGGTTTTAGACCTGTAATTTCATTACTAGAGGGAGTTCCTTGTTTTAGGACTCCATCAATGCAAATCAGCACCCACTTAGCAACTTTGGATCTTAGAGAGTAGGAGGCTCTAAGAGGTTATAAAACTAACCCCAGTTCACACAGCCTACAAGAGACAGATGAAAGACCTGAATCTGGATCTTCTTTACCCTGATGGGTAAACCACATGATGAAACCACAACTCCTTTTCACAAATGATGAGGCTGAGACCCAGAAAGGTTTAATGAATTGTCCATGACCACACAGAAAGGAATGGCAGAGCCAGCTTGGATTCAATCCAAAATCCTCTGCAAGATTCCAGCTACATCAAGCTGTCTCCCAAAGTAGTCAAGCCCAGGGAAGTTGAATTCCCTTAGGAAATCTCATGGAAGAATCAACTTATTTCCTGGAAGATTTGAGACAAGTTGTGCTTGATTGCTTTCCAGTCAAAACCTTTTGAAAAGAAAACTGGGGTGCCATCCCCACCAGAGAGCTGCCTTGAGCTGTACTTAAGTAGAAAACTTCACAGACATTTTAGCCATAAGGCCACTCTTGAGTGCCCAGGTTTCACTGACCAAATGCTTACTTCTAAATATTTAAACGAAGAGCAAGAACAGCTTTAGAATAAGACCTCTGACTGTCATTTCCTTTCCTTTTCTTGAGTCTTTTCAAATCCCATGAGCCAAATACAAATTCCATTATTCAATGTTTCTCTTATTTGGCATTTCCCTTCCTCCACTATTTAGTTCTGCTGGTCTTAGAAGGAAACAAGCTGTAGAGAATATGAAAGCTTCTGAGAGGCTTATAACCACTAAAACCTCCTGAGCCAATGATTTCTGAGTCAATGTCTGTTGGGTATTGATTATTCTGGTTTGTGAGAAGGCAAAAGTATTTGTGATCTCCTCCTTTCCAAAGACCTTTCCCCTTCTCATCTTCACCCAGACATAGCCTTTCCCTTGTGCCCTATGAGGGAAGGGAGCTCTTTCTGATACCCTCCCCAGAACTGCAGGTAGTTGTTACAGTGGTATATCATTTCCCACCCAGTTGCCTTCCTTTGGATTTTGCCATCACACCCCCAGGGAGCCTCATCACCCTGAAGGATTCAGCCTTAATACTCATACCTCATCAGTGCCCTCTGATCCTCTGATTGGAAGGCAGAACAAGCAGCTCTTCTTCCATTTAAGAAGGACACTCAGGTCAACCATCTCTCCATTTCCCACCAGTCTGTATTCTTTGAACTTCGCTGGGTGCCTCTCTCACTACCCACTTTTCAGTTTCCTTTTGCGTACCGTCTTTCCTCACTAGATTGTAAGTTCCTTGAAGGCAAGACCTTTCTTTTTCTTATTTGTCTTCCCAAGCTCGCAGCACAGCACAGTGAAGAGATGCTATATAAATGTTTATCAACTGACTGTAAACTTCTTGAGGGCAGGAACTGTTCCCTCTTTTGTATTTCCATCCCAGCACCTAGAACAATGTCTGAAACACAGAAGGTGCCATTAAGCACCTAAGCCAATTCCAATCCTCTTTTAATTATACTATTCTATTCTGTTTCTTTGGAGAATAAGGCAAAACTCTAGAAACTCGACCCTACTTTTAGTTGAACGATGCTGTGCCCTCTCACAGTCGCAAACTTAATATTGCAGCCCCCTCTCATTTTGCTCACCATGACCCCCGGTCCTTTTGATGGGTTCCTAGTAAGTGCCCCTTACAGAGTTAGCCCTTCCCTTAAACATTCCCTTTTTTAGGGTGCTTATCCATGTGAGCCCTCAATGGCTTTCTTTCCTTTAAAGGGCTCATTTTAACCTATCACAATAGCCACAGGTGCCACCTGCCAAGAGTATTAGGCAAACGATGAAGAAGTGACCAGGCCTTGAATGAATGTGGACTCCTATGTTCAATAACTCAGGTAACAAAAAAAAAAAATGAAGCCATCTGCAGCTCAATTTAGAGCATAATTTTATTAAGTCATCGGGGATTGCAGAATGTGATAATGGTTGACTTTCTTACAAAATTAAATCACTTCAAATGCACAATCAGCTATTCATTTTCCAATGGCTGAATGCAATGGCTGTGAAAATCACACTCCCTTTAAGCACACCTTTAATTTCTATCAGTATATGCTTCATTTAAAAAAAAAAGATATTTGAGCACCTTTGAAAAGGCTACTTGTCCCACATGCAAGACAGGGCTGTGATGTGATAGGCCTTACCCAGCATCTTGCTTACTTATTGTTTTATGAATTTGATCACTGGTTGATTGTAAATGTTTTGAATGAATCAGCATATCCAACATCAACATATCCAACATTTACGTAAAAGGAAAAGCGTGTTTCTTTTAGCCTCACCACCTCTCCCCCTTTAATACATAAAAGACCTAGAAATATAGCCAGAGAAGAGCTAGGAATCTTCTCACCACGGCTCTGAAATTGGAAGATGCTCCAGTGGCCCATTCATTTAAAGAGTCACATGGTGGGAGGAGAAAGGAAAGGTAGAGGGAAATGCTTTTTTTTTCATCTAGAACAGAGTAAAGGATTACATGAATCCAAGCTTTAATTTTCCTAAAACATACATTTAGCATAATCAAAAGATGTGCCTGAAGAAATCTGATGAATGCAATTACTAAAAGTTTGATGATGAAATCATTCCCACCTCTCAGATATGAAGTGAGGGACTAGGGGAACAGAATGAGGTATATATTTTCAGATAAGGACAATATGTGAATTTGTTCTGCTTAATTACACATATTTGTTATGATGAAAGGCTTCAATATTGTGGAAGGAAAGAGTTGTTGGGGGAAGAAATGGGAAATGAGAGTGATTAAAAAAGGAAGACAGTAAAGACCAATAAAACATTTTAAAAATACACAAAAGAGAGCAGAAACAAATTCAGAGGGGGTCACAGATGAGCAGAACATATTAAATTTCAAATATACTTAAAAACAAGCTGTACAATATAGAGATTCCTAGTTTCACATACATTTCTTTTTCTGTTCTTCTTTGTATAAGCAGAAGCTAATGATTGATGAGGTGGATGATACTTTTTAAACAAAGATACAACCACTCTACTTCCCATACTCAATTAATTCCAGTGGCTCCCTATTTCTTCCAGGATAAAATACCAACTCTTCCAATTTGTTTTTATTACCCTTCAGAATTTGACCCTAACCAACCTTTCCAGCTTCAGTGGATATTAATTTTCACCCCTCTCAAAAAAAAGATGCCAAACTAGCCTCTCTCTGTGCTTCTTTTTGTTTTGAGGTCTTTTGGGAGACAATCAGGCTTAAATGACTTGCCCAGGGTCACATGGCTAATAAGTGTCTTAGCCTGGATTTGAACTCAGGTCCTCCTGACTCCAGGGCTGTTGCCCTATCAACTGTGCCACCTAGCTGCCCCTTTCTCTGTGTTTCTTATGCATGACACTCCATCTCTCATCTCTGGGTCTTGCTACTAGATACTGTACATGCCTGAAGGATTCTTCATCTTCACCTCTCTTCTTTCAAGAAACAGTTCAAGCACCACCTTCCAAATGGAGCGTTTTCTGATCTCCCCAAATGCTAGTGCCCTCACTCTTTAACTGCCTTATATTTAAGTACCTAGGATTTATTATGTACATACATATATGCATAAGTATATGTGTGTGTGTATATGAATACAAATATACACATAAATGTGTATATATTTTATATATATACATGTGTGTATCTACATATATACACATACATTATATACATGTATATATACATATATACACATGTGTAGTTTATATATATACATACATACATACACATATATATGCATATGTGTGTGTTTATGTCCTTATTATGTCCTTATCTCCCTGATTATAATATGAACACCTTGAGGATAGGATTGTTTCTTTTCCATTCCTATTTAATTTCATTTCTATTTATTCATATGTCCAGCACCTAATACAAAGTTTGGCACATAGTACGTGCATAATAAATGCTTGGTGATTGATTGATCATTGTTAGGTTTATAATAAATAGATTTTAATTTTAAAAAAAGATGTGCTTGAACCAGATTTTTAGAGCCCACCATAAGATGTAGAACCCACCTTATACTTGGTACCCTAGATTTTGATAGTCTGGTGCTCCTGGGGAAACTCCATCCTGGGAGAACTATTTGGGAAAACCCCTTAGACAAATCTGGGTACCTCTTTCTGTTCACAGCCACCACCCTGAATGGTGGGGTACAGGGTTGCTTGCCACTCCTCAGCCGGCTGACAAAAAGGCTTCAGTCCGTCTTCTGAAGTGGGCCTTGGGAGGAGAGAGGTGACAGGGGCAGGAGCAGGGGTGGCCATCTCGAAGCGGTCTATCTGAATCTCCTCTCCTTCTGAAACACAGCTGCTGACCTCTTGAAGCTGGAAGCCCCGGATCAAAAGCTGACAAGCTTCCAAATCAGCTTCCCACACTCTTTCTAGAAGCTGACTCCTGGAGCTGAAACAATGCCAATGTAGAAACAAATACACACGCACACCGAGATTAACATGATGGAGTAGGTATCAAATGAAGTCCATCCCCCGTGCTCTTCTACCCTGTAAAAAGAGGGCTGGATGCATAATCATTCCCAAGAGGGGTCTACTTGATTTCATATCCCACCTCTGACACTTAATACCGATGGGACTTGGGGAAATCACTTTACCACCCTATAATTCAGTTATCTCATCTATAAAATCAGAGCGGGGTGGACTAGATGACCTCCTGGGTTCCTTCCAGGTATAGCTGATGTTCCTATGACTTATCAGTATACATGCATATGTATACACAAACATGCATGCATGTATACATGTTTGTATATATGCATGTAGATGTGTAGTTATACATACATGCACATACATATGTGTATATATAGATGCATGCGTGTGTGTGTGTGTGTGTGTGTGTGTGTGTGTGTTAGTTGCCATCAAGTAACCAAGAATGACCTCATGGATTAAGGGCATCGTAGTATTACAGGTAGAAAAAGTGATAGGTCAAGTCTTAGGATCTGATTTTGAATCTTTGCTCTCCTTTATGCTAGCTATGTGATCTTAGGCAAATCACTTACCCCTTCAGGGCCTTAGTTTCCTGACCTGTTGAATGAAGGGGGTGGGTTAAATGATCTCTAAAGACCCTTCCCCCTCTGATCCTAAGATAGGAGGTTTGGACCCAAACTGCTATTGTAATTGCCATCTGTCCCACCCGGTGCACCACTTGATTATATGATTTTTTATTGCTCTCTATGCATTCAAGTCTTCACCCAATAATAGATAAAAGATAGGGATGGTGACTTTCACTCTTTTGTAACCTTCACAATGTCACAACAGTGACATATGGCAGGGGTTTGACTGGACCTAATTGGATTGAATTGATCTTATTCCTAAAAGGATGGACGCAACTACATTTTCCGACAACTTTTTTTTTTCGAAGAGAAAAAGTTGCTCCTTCTGTAAATAATTTGCTACTCATCACTTCATTATGCTAACTTTATGTCTTCAAGACAGAAATTATTTTGAGGGTAGAGAAGATGGAATGAATCCTAGAGGAGGCTTGGCCTATTATAAGCAGAATTTGGGGATACGTGCAGTTATCTGAACAAAAGCCAAGGTTAAGCCTCCAAAAATGTCTCTTGCTGCAAGCCAAGATTTTGCAAAATAATTGGGGGGTGGGGAGGGTGCTGTGTGCTCTATGGTGAGAAAAATACAGAGGTAGAAAATTACAAAATTACAGTCCTTTGTGATGACCCACTTAATACTTTCTTCAGACTGTGGGTTGTTTTTTTTTTTTTTTTAATTTCAACTTGTTGCATCTGTTTCTGTTCAACTAAATAGTGGTTGATTTCACATTCTTTAGAAACTTTGCTCTTCATGCATAGGATGGTAATTGTGTTGTTAGTAATAAATCTCTCAAATGAGTGACTCACTGCTACTTGGGGCTTGGAGAGCTGTGGTGGGGATTTTCAATGTCCTATATGCTTCTGACCAGTCCTAAAGCTTCAAGCTGAAATGTTTGGGGGAGTTCATGTGTGGGCAACTGAGATTCAACCACTTGGCCAGCTCACTGGACTATGACTGCTTGTCCAAGGTGAAATGTGCCTGAGATCTCTTAACTGTGGCTTGAATAACAGGGGGGAATTGTTAACAAGAGGCAGAAAAGCCAAGGCAGATGCTGCTGTGAAAGGCTATGTTCCATCCAATAAACACTCAACCCAAAAAGCCAAACTTTTTCCCCTAGAAGATGGCTCTTGCTAGATGCTGCTCAGTACCTACACCAGTAGGCATAGTTTTTATGTAGCCAACAGGCATATAGTAAGGGAATGTGTACCATGGAAAGGGCATTGAGTTTGGAGTCAGAGGACCTGGAATTAAATTGAAACTCTGCTACATGCCACATGTGTTAGTTTGGGCAAGTCACTCATCTTCTTAGGATGTTAGATTCCTCATCTTTAAAATGAGGTTGTTGGACCAGATGGCATCCATCTCTTTCTGCTCTACAGGGGGAAAAATTGGTTTCTTATTTTAGTTAGGAACTTATAGAGCCCATAGTTTTTTCTAATTATTTCTCCCAACAAAGGTGGAGAGGTTGGTCTTCGGACATCAGATACACAGACCTTCAATGGCCTTGTATTGAAGTCTTTCTAGCTGGGTAGGACAAGTTACTAGATAAGTAACCAGGATGAGTTACGAGAACTTTCACTACACTGGCATGGCCTCGGTGAATGTAGTCACCTCTATGCCAGAGTAGGATTTTGGTGGAAGATAAGATGTTTCTCTCACTAATACATCAAAATTAGTTAATACTTATATCACTACAAAAATTACTTTGTCCAACCATCTACTATGAACTGACATTATGCAAGGAGGTAAATGACAGATAAATGTTTGCCAGGACTGTGGAAAGGTATCCTTCAAAAAAAGGATCAAATGAAAGAAGTTTTCTAGTGTAGTATGTTAGAAAGAACACTAGATTTGGGATCCATGGACCTGGATCCATTACCAAGTTACTTGACATTGTTGGGCCTTGATTTTCCCATTTATAAAGTGGGGGAAGAGGATTCTGGGAAGATGGTAGTGTAGGTCAGAAAATGTCAAACTCTCAAGATTTTCTTCCACAAAAGAGACAAAATAGCACCTCTGGGTGAACATAGAGCTGAGAAAACAAATAAGATTAGGGGCAGAAGAGGGGTCCTCCTGGGACAATTAGAGAAGATCTGAAGAAAAATCCTGGACAAGATTTCCTTCCTGTGAAAAGTAAACACCTCCAGGCTAGGGTCCTTCAACAACAAGAGGCAAGGCTTGGGGTTAGCTGGGTTAGGAGGTTGCCTCAGCTCAGCCACAGGAATTTTTAACCCCAGCATAGTGAGCAGAATTGGGCATCTGTCCCGGGGAAGATTAAGGGAATCTCTGCTGATGGGAACACCACACCCAACTGTGCTGCAGAGACTTGGTTGGTGCCAGAACAAAGTAGCACACATCAGTAAGTGCCAAAGCAGTGGGGTAGGGACGCCTCTGCTGTGGGCACTTAGAGGAGGCTGAAGGTCTTGGTTTGAGTTCAAGGTCAGAAGAGTGAACTAAAGAGGATTAGAGGCACCATCCTCCATACCCCAGGACTAGAGGTGATTATAAAAACTAAATTATTATAAAAAAAATGCACAGGCAAAGGAGAAAGAATCCAACCATAGAGAGCTATTACAGAAATAGAGAAGATCAGAGCTGGTCTTCAGAGGAGGATATTGAAGCAAAGAAACCCTCTTCTACCCCCAAAGAGTAATGTCAAATGGTCACCTGCCCAAAAAGAACTCATTTAAGAACTTAAAAAAAGATTTTAAAAATCAAATGAGAGAGACTGAGGAAAAACTAAAAAGAAAAATAAGAATAATACAAGAAAAACAAGAAGGTTAAGAAAAGAAAGTCAACCATTAGAAAAGAAGATTCAGAATCTTAAGGAAGAAAATCAGAATTGGGTAAGAGGAAACCAGTGAAGTTATAAGAGATGAAGAAATTAAAATAATAAAAATTAAAATTAAAAAGAATGAAAAATAGAAGAGAATATGAAACATCTCATCAGAGAAACAACAGATCTAGAGAACAGATCAAAAAGAGAAAACATAAGAATAATGGGACTACCTGAAAGTTCTGATTAAAAAAAAGAATTTCGATACAATAATACAAAAAATAATTAAAGAAAATTGTCCTGAAGCATTACAACAAGAGGGGAAAGTAGAAATAGAAAAAAATCCACTGATCAGCACCTGAAAGAACTCCTATGAGGAAAACTCACAGGAATATTATTGTCAAATTTCAAAACCCCCTGATCAAGGACAAAATACTATTAGCAACAAGAAAAAACAATTTACATATGGTGGTACCACAATTAGAATCATACAAGGCCTAGCAGTGGCGACACTAAAAGATCACAGGTCTTGGAACACTGTGTTATCAAAGAGCAAAAGAACTGGGCTTCTGGTCAAAACTATCATGCCCAGCAAAGCTAAGCATAATTCTGAATGAAAAAAAAATGGACACGATCAGTTGTCAGACTTTCAGGTCTTTGTTAAAAACAAAAACAAAAACAAAAAAACCTGAACTCAATAGATTTAACATATAAGAGCCAAGAGAACTTTAAGGTACATACCAATATCATACAAAGAACTAAATAAGTATAGAATGTTTACCTTTTCTGTATGGAAAATGTAAAACCTATGTCTAAGATTGTTACTAGTAATTAGGTAACTTATAAGGAAGATTGGGGTAAACTTGAATATGAAATGACTTCAAAAAGTAAAACCATTCAAGTATGGCTAAAAGAGTAATTATCTTTTACAAATGACATGCGAGAAGAAGAACTAATGCAGAAGAATTAGATGGAGGAGAGGGGCTGTTAGTTCTGGAACCCTACTCTAATCAGGAATGGGTTTAAGAGGGGAAAATACATATACATTTAGAAAAGAATAAAAGTTTTTTAAATTTAAAAACAAATAAAACTCTATGGGGATAGGGAGGGGGAGAGGATAAAGGAGGGATCTTTAGAGGGGAGGGTGTGGGAATAGGTTAAAAAGAGGATATAGAAGGGGGTTTTGATTTAGGGGAATGGGAGGATAAGGGAGGGATTGCTGAAGTGGGGGTAGGTTAAGTAATAGGAGGGTAAGGTAGCAGAAGTAAAGTAGAGGAGTTAGGAGAGATAGGAAAAATAAAGAGATATACACAAACAAAAACAAAGATTAGGAGTAGAATTTTTTATGAAAGTATATGTATGTATATATATGTGTATATGTATGTATATATATGTGTGTGTGTGTGTATATATATGTATGTATGTGTGTGTATATATATATATATATATATATCAATACCTATATATAAATATATCCAATGATCCACTGTAGCCTTAGAGTGGTAGGTAGAGGGGAGGGAGGGGAAAAAAAGAACAAAGTAAAAAGTGTACAGCAGACAACAAAAGAA